ACTGCACTCCAGCCTGAGTGACACAGTGAGACTCAGTCTCTAAAAATATATATACGTAAATAACTAAAGCCATTTATTACTTAAAAAGACAAAAAAAAAAAAAAAGAAATCTTGTATCTTCCTTTTATTAGCATCCTGGGCTGTGGCATACATTGATTTCCTGTTAATCCCAGCACTTTGGGAGGCCGAGAGGGGCGGATCACTTGAGGTCAGGAGTTCGAGACCAGTCTGGCCAACATGGTGAAACCCCGTCTCTACTAAAAATACAAAAAATTAGCCGGACACGGTGGCATGTGCCTGTAATCCCAGCTACTCCGGAGGCTGAGGCAGGAGAATCACTTGAACCCGGGAGGCGGAGGTTGCAGTGAGCCGAGATCATGCCACTGCACTCCAGCCTGGGCGACAGAGCGAGACTCTGCCTCAAAAACAAACAAACAAACAAAAAACCAAGCAGATGGTAAATGATTTCCCAGGGCTCTGTGTGTATCTCCTAAAGAGAAACCTGTAGGAATGCTCAGCCCCATCCCTAGCAGCGGCTCTCCCCAGCACCAAAGGGTGAGATCTGAGATTCCGGGTGCCTGCCCCTCCAGGTAGAGGAGCTGGGCATGGGGGCTGAGGAGGCTGTGGATTGCCGTCAGTGGACTCAACACCATCTGGTTGCTGCTGACATCCGCGTGGCACCAGCCATGGCGCTGACACCACCACAGGGCGACGCAGATGCTGATGGCATGGATGTCAATGTGCGTGGCCCAGGTCAGTGACAGTGCCCCTCCCAAAGGGATGCCCGTCACCCATCCTACCTGGAAGAGGTTATTTCTGAGTCTGTGTTTTGGGAAGAACTGGTGGAGTCTGTAAGCTTCTGTGAAGGGTGTGTGTTCAGCAACACTCTTGGTTGGAAATGACAAAGGTCCAACTCAAGCTAGCTTAAGTAAAACAAGGGATTTATTGACTCATGTAACTAAAAGTGGCACATTTGGATCCAGGACTCATTTTTCCCCTCTCTACCCTTTGACTCCAATCTTATGAAATCTTCCTAATGTGCCAGCAGAAGTCTCAGGATACATTCTGATTGGACAGAAGTCTCAGGATGCATTCAGATTGGCTCATCCTTGAGCCAATCAGTATGACCAGGGGGCTGGAATATGCAAATTGACCAAGCCTGATTCCCTTACCTGCCCTTGAGCGGGCGAGGGTAGGAGGGGCAGCGGGGAGGTGTGTCTCTACCCAGGACTTGAGAATGGAGAACTGGATGCAAGTGGCTCCCTAAGAAAAACGAGGACAAGTGCTTGTGTACAGTGTGTGCAGTGTAGCAGTCTATGTTGTTTGATCCTCTCAGATCCATCTTTGCTATGTTTCAGGGCATTCCTGCCTTAGCTTCATTTCGCTTTTGCTCCAAATGGCCTGTACTTGTGGCTCTCTTTTGAAGTCCCTCTGGCTACTGGGGCCTGAAGTGCCTGGGATTTTATGTCCCTGGGGGCAGCTCTTTTTTTTTTTCCTTTTAAAATACTGAAATGAATTGGCAGAAAGGGGCAGCTCCTAACCAGTGGATGCATGGTATGAGGGGGATAGTTTCTTTACCTTGAACTGGATTAGAACTCTGGAGTACAATGCATGTTCCAGAGTCCCTGTGCAGGATCAGGGTGGAATAACCCTTTGGAAATTTACTGGAGGTTGCACACTTGCTTGACTCCCAGAGTCCCTTGTCCTGTGTTCCGCACCCTAGGAGTCATTCTGTGATAAATCACATGCCCACGAATCCTCATCCTGGGTGTGGGTGTGCAGACAGGAGGATCTGCCAATCCACATTCTTCCATGTGTCCTATTAGCTCCTAATGGGGTGCCCTTGATAACATTTCCTGGAAAAGGCCCTGTGTTTACCTTCCTGCCGACACACTCCTGTCCCCGCAGATGGCTTCACCCCACTGATGCTGGCTTCCTTCTGTGGGGGGGCCCTGGAGCCGATGCCAACTGAAGAGGATGAGGCAGATGACACATCAGCTAGCATCATCTCCGACCTAATCTGCCAGGGGGCTCAGCTTGGGGCACGGACTGACCGTACTGGCGAGACTGCTTTGCACCTGGCTGCCCGTTATGCCCGTGCTGACGCGGCCAAGCGGCTGCTGGATGCTGGGGCAGACACCAATGCTCAGGACCACTCAGGCCGCACTCCCCTGCACACAGCTGTCACAGCCGATGCCCAGGGTGTCTTCCAGGTGAGACAGGCACACCCTCTGGACTTCGGAGCTGGGGCAGGCTTTAGACTTACCTGGATTTGAGCCCCAGTTCTGCCTTTCAGAGCTCATTTTTTCTCATTTGGAAAATGGGGATATATGGGAGTACAGTAGCTGTCAAGCAGCTGCTCTCTGAACCTCACCAATTTCAGGGGTTGGGGTGTGGGGGTTGGAGACTTCATGGGACTTAGGAGTGTTCTTGATTCCTCTGTTCCTGCCATGACTCCTCCTGCTGCATCCACTCTGTCCTAGATTCTCATCCGAAACCGCTCTACAGACTTGGATGCCCGCATGGCGGATGGCTCAACGGCACTGATCCTGGCAGCCCGCCTGGCAGTAGAGGGCATGGTAGAAGAGCTTATCGCCAGCCATGCTGACGTCAATGCTGTGGATGAGCTTGGTAGGTTGGCAGAGGAATCAAGTCTAGGCTGGGTTAGTGTCACCTGGGCCCCGAGGGTCATGTTGGTGCAAACTCATACCCATGTTGAGACCCAATCACTGAAGCTGATGCACACATAACCAGGCTTCATGAAGCCTGCAGGGTCATGCAGGGTCACTACTAGTCCTTAGGGTGCCTCAGGGATTAGGAAAAGGTGCCTTTCCCCTGGACACTTCATTTTCACCTGCTTTGTTAGACAGACACACTCTACTTCCACCTGCTGGAAGTTATTATAATAAACGTGCACATCTGGCCATGTGTGGTGGCTCATGCCCGTGATCCCAACACTGGGAGGCAGAGGCAGGAGGATGGCTTGAGGCCAGGAGTTTGAGACCAGACTGGGCAACATAGTGGGTTCTACAAAAATTTTTTAAAAGATTAGCCACGTGCGGTGGTGCATACCTGTGGCCCTAACTACTCGGAACACTGAGGTGGGAAGGTCATTTGAGCCCAGGAGGTTGAGGCTGTGAGCCATGATTGTGCCACTGCACTCCAACTTGGGGGACAGACTCTGTCTAAAAAAAAAAAAAAAAGTCTCCAGACATTGCCAAATGCCCTGGGGGCCGGGGTCGGGGAGTTTCTCCTGGTTGAGAACCATGGCTTCAGGGCAGGGCTGGCCAATAGGACTTTCTGTGATGATGGAATTATTCTCTGCACTGTCCAATATGGTAGCCACTGGCCACATGTGGTGACTTGAAATGTTGCTGGGGCAAATGAAGAACTAAATGTTTTAGTTCATTTAATTCTTTTTCTCCTTGTGTTGCTCTTTTTTTTTTTTTTTTTTTTTTTTTGAGACAGAGTCTCTCTCTTATTGCCTAGGCTGGAGCGCAATGGTGTGATCTTGGCTCACGGCCACCTCCAC